GAAACCGAAGAGTGGTAAGATCGCCTCACCTTATGGTAGTGGTTGGCAAACTCATTAGTCTACAGAGCCAAATATCAACAGCATAACGATTGAAATTTCTTTGGAGAGCCAAATTTTGTAAACTTAAACTTTTTCTAACGCCACTTCTTCAAAATAGACTCGCCTGGGCCGTGGTATTTTGTGGAAGAGCCACACACTCAGGAAACGAAAGAGTCTCATGTGGCTCGCCAGCCGCAGTTTGCTGACCACGGCCTTAAGGGAAGGCAGAGCGGTCTATCAGGCAGATACCTCCCATGTCACTCACTGGTTGAAAACCCCACTCCTGGGAGAGGCTGAAAGCACAGTTAGGTTAGTTGCTAAGTTTTGGTTTGGCGACATTGTTTAGCAAGTGACTGCATTTCGGCCTGTTGTTGCTTTTTTTAATACCTTCAATAATCGAGCAAATTCTTCATCCCCCGACCCTTAGCCTCCCTTCAGAAAGAGTCTTGTTGAGTCGGTGAAGCAAGAATCCTGCTAGCCCTGAGGTCTCCTCTTAATTATTTGCCACCCACTGACCCCAGACCCTGCTGCTTGGCTCTAAATCTTCACTTGACCTTGTTGCACTGGGACTTGGCTTTTAATGTTTGTGTGGTTTTTGTCTGCTCCCCTCTCCCCCTCAGCATTCCCTCCTCAGCATCTGGCCCTCTGCCTACGACTCTGTAGTCAATCAATAGCTGCTGAATGAGAGGATGAGGGTTCCTGCAGAGACGGAGATGGAAGAATTGCGGTGCCTTTGGCCCCAGACTTGGCTTCCCTTGGGGAGGCCCTGGGGAGGAGAACCTGGTGGACAAAGATGTCCTTGTCCAGGCCCCTGGCTTCCCTGTCCCCCTCATTGTTCTGTCCTGCGTCCTGCGGCCTGGGGGAGGTGGCTGTGTACTCCTTTGTCCTGCTTCCTGGTTTCCTCCCCGCTGGGTGGAGGTGCAGCTGCCTCCTCCCACTGCCATTTTCCCAACCCCCAGGGACTCACCAGAAAAGCCTGGACCCTCGCAATGAGCGCTTCTCTGTGAGGGGAGCCGTGGGTGCAGAGGAAAGGGTGTCTGTCCCTGCCCCCTCTCCCAGTCCTCTTCTCAATGCCGCCAGGACTAGCACACACAACGGGCTCCAGGGAACCTGGGACACTCAGGCTGGAGTAGGTCCCCGACCATCAGCACGGAGTGTGGGTCCCAGACCTGGCCAAGACCAAGTTCAGATTAGGACAGGGCTCTGTGATATTAACTGGATAGAGTACTGTTACGCCTGTGGAATCTAATGATTTTTGAATGAATGATCAAGTCACTGAAAGACCTGGAGGAAACTTACATGGTAAACTGCATGGTAAAATACGCATTACTAAGTGAAAGAAGCCACTCGGAAAGGGTCCATACTCCATGATGCTCACTACTACACGGCATTCTGGTAAGCGCAGACCTGTGGAGGCAGCAACAAGTTCAGTGGCTGCCAAGAGCGAGGGGGGAGAGAGGGAGGAGTAGGTGGAGCACAGAGGATTTGGGGGGCAGAGAACTACTCTGTATGGTACTACAGTGATGGATACATATTACATATTTGTCCAAACCACTAGAATGTGCGGTACCCAGAGTGAACCCTAATGTAAACTTTGAGTGATAATGGCGTCAATGCAGTTTACCAATTGTAACTAATGTACTACTCTGGTGGGGATGTTGATAGTTGGGGAGACCATGCATGTGTGTGTGTGTGTGGGGGGGGGGGCGTAATATGGGAAATCTCTATGCTTTATTTTGCTGTGAACTTAAAACTGATCTAAAAATAAAATCTCTTTAATAAAAGGGGGTTGTATTTTATATTTTTTAATTACTAATATATCATTTTCTGGTAAATCAGTGCTATGCAAGGGGACTGAATGCTTATGTCCCCTTAAAATTTACATGTTGCCAAAACCAATTTGGCTCAGTGGATAGAGCATCGGCCTGCGGACTGAAGGGTCCCAGGTTCGATTCCGGTCAAGGGCATGTATCTTGATTGCGGGCATATCCCCAGTGGGGGGTGTGCAGGAGGCAGCTGATCGATTACTCTCTCTCATCGATGTTTCTAACTCTCTATCTCTATCCCTTCCTCTCTGTAAAAATCAATAAAATATATTTTTTAAAAATTTACATGTTAAAGCCTTAATCCCCAATGTGATGGTGTCTGGCCATCAAGGGGCAGATGCTCAATGCAGGAGCAGAAACCACAGGCATGGGTGAAACATGGAACTGACTGATGAATCTCAGAGAAAGGGGGAGGCAGATGGGGGAAAGATGGGAAGAGATTAGCCAAAAATCTTATATGCATACCAGAGGCCTGGTGCACAGATTTGTGCACTGGTGGAGTTCCTCGGTCTGGCCTGCAGGGATGGGCTGAAACCGGTTCTCCAACATCCCCCAAGGGGTCCCGGATTGCGAAAGGCCACAGGCCAGGCTGAGGAACCCCACAGTGCACAAATCCGTGCACCAGGCCTCTAGTTTTAATATATTATCATATATATATTTTTAATTTTAATATTCCTTAAAGTCTGAGAAGCAAGACAGAAGTCAGTTTTCTGACTTCACCAATACCTTCAGAGGCTGGAATTACATGGACCATTTCCTTGGCTGCGAGGTCAAATCTTCAAATCCTCCTGCTCTGGCTCAGCCTTTATGTTCTTTCCTCTTCTGGTTGTTGCTGGAAACTTCCCTTTCCTCGGGATGGCTGAGACCACCTCCATGACAGGCGCCCACCCATCTCCCCTGAGCCTTCCACAGCAGGTGGTGAGGTCTGTGTAGCAGCTGGAGGTGAGCTAGAAAAGTTCAGAGGGAAGGCGGAAAGAGATGCAGCTGGGGAAATGTCCTCCTGCAGTAAGGAAAAAACAGAAGCCTGGAAAGACCCAGCTTGGGTGGAGGAAGGCCAGTCCTTGTCTCTCAGCCTCAGAGGAGGAACGAATTGGTGGGCTGAGAACCCTGGCTTGACCCTGAGACACTAGGTCAAGGGTAACTAAGCAACCATAATGGAGAAAAGCAACCAGGCTGGCTACGTGGGTGGTCTCTGGGTATCAGAGAGTCTGGGCTTATCACCCTCAGGAAGGACGGGGCTTACCTCAGGGAGTGGGCCAGCCCCAGTGGGCAGCCATGTGCTGACAGTGGGGACTTCTAAAGAAATGGAGAAACTGTTCACTAACGTGGGGAGTTCGGTATGTGAGGGTGAGGGAATGAGAACAGAGAGACTGTTTTTCGGGGACCTCCACAAACACATTCAGCCAGAGAGGTAGGCTGACCCCAGTAACCTCATCTGCACACCTGCCTCCACAATCCACCCTGCACCCCAACTCAGTGCCTCCCAATGGTCCTTCCCTTCCCACGTCTCAGTCCCCTGACCTCATGCCAGTTCCCACTCTGCAAAGTCCGTGGGCTTGGAGCCCAGGAAGTCTCTGCTTCCATGAGCCAAGCGCGAAGTCTTAGCAACCACTTCTCAGAGACACAAGAAATGGCAAACAGCTACTATTTGGGAGGCTGAAAATCAGAGCGGTTTCTGGAGATGGACTTCTGGCTATGAAAAGCATTACTACCACAGACCTAAGGGACCTTGGGCAAGTTACTGAGCCTCGTTTTCCTTGTCTGTGAAATGGGGACACTCACAGCAGCTCCCCCCTCAGGCTGTTGTGAGAGTGAAATGAGACTGTAAAACCCCCAGCACAGGACTGGGAGCACAGGCATCCTTGTCCAACTCCTCACTTCCTGGACCCCATATCTTGACCTAAACTGGCCTCCGCTATGCCTGGTGATCTCTTGAGATGTAAATTAAATCTGTTACTCCTGTTGAAAGCTCTCCCATGGAACCTCATGTTAGCAGAAAGCCCAGCCTGAGCTCCTCCTACCTCTCCCCTCACTCAGGGCTGCTTCCACAGCAGCCGCTAGTGCCGGAGGCCTTTGCCTGGGCTGTTCCCTCTGCCTGGAACACCCTTCCCTGCTCCTCATAGTCAAGTCCAGTTTAAATGCCATTTCCGAAAAGACGCCTTCTCCAACTGCCTCCTTCCTTCTTAGCACTAATGCCCTATCTGTAATCACATTACTGATTTATTGCCCTCAGGCCCACCACAAGGCAATGCCATGAAGCCATTTGGCCAGGCGCCCGCTGAATGCATAAAGGACGCGTTGTCATGAATGGGGATCGGGTGCATTGGAGACAAAACTGGCCTGGTGGCCCGCCCAATCCTGACCACCACTGCCCCAGCATCTCCGTAAGGTTGGGTGTGGCCCCGTCCGCACACACAAACGTTGTACACTGAGTCCGGAGGTCCAAAGTAAACGTTTTATTCTCAGTTCTGCCTTAGCCATCTCTAGTTCTGCAAGCATGAATAAATGGAGTCAACATTTAGGAATACTCCCCCTAAATGTCTGTCATTACGATTTGTCACTGGAAAAGTTCCCTGTTTTTCCTAAGGGGAGTGACTGCAGGGCGATCTACGCAGGGACTTGATGATGGGAGCATGGGGGCTGATCATCCGTGCTTCATGCCAGCCCGCTGGCGTGGCTCCGTGGTTGAGTGTCGGCCTAGGAACCAGGAGGTCATGGTTCGCTTCCCGGTCAGGGCACATGGCTGGGTTGCAGGCGATCCCCAGTGGGTGCGTGCCGATTCCTCTCTCACGGAGCAGTGTGTGGCCGCAGAGTCTGTCCACAGCAGCCCAGCAGACCTGCCCCCAGCAACAGGGCTGGACCAGGAAGAGAGCCACCAGAATGTGTGTGGGTGACGACTCATTAACCTACTCTGGGGCGGGGCGGATTGCTGCCTTCACAGCCTCCAATCTGATGCACCCAACCCCCAACAGGTCTGAAGAACCCTCGGCCAGCAGAAAGGTGAGCCGTAGAGCGAGGACGAGTGTCCTCTGAAGGGCCCCGCTTTTAGAGCAGTTCCCAGAGGGAGACCCCAATCCCCACCCTGGACGCTGCAAGGTGAGGAGGGCATCCTTCCTTCCTTCCTGTTCCCGGGGTTCACAGGACGGTCTCGCGAATGACGCCGATGAGGCTGTGTGGCCGCTCGGCCGCCCGCCGGGGCCTCCTCTCCACTCGGGGCCTCCCGGCCGCCACGAAGGTGCTCAGGTCCCCGCAGCTCCGCAGGTGCAGCACGCCGGGCTGTCTCCGCGATGGCGGCAGCTGGGCCCGGAGCGGGCTGGGCTGCAGGGGGGCCATGATCTTTGGGAGAAGGAAGAGGGTGGGGAGAGGTTACGCTTCACCAGAGGCCCTGGGTCTGCCTCCTACGTCCGTCCATGTGACGTTTAGTTGCCTTGAGAAAGAAAAGAGGGCGTACTCCCAAAGTGGAGCCCACGTGGAATTCCAGAGAGGCTTACCATAGTGCCTCTTTCCTGAAGTTTCTAGCACATTCCCCAGATGTCCTATGGTTTCAAAGGTAGCCCTGCCTCACTTCTCTGACTCAGCTATTGCAATGTCTTGCTTTATACCCGGGGTCGGCAAACTGCGGCTCTTGAGCCACATGCGGCTCTTTGGCCCCTTGAGTGTGGCTCTTCCACAAAATACCAGGGCCTGGGCCAGTCTATTTTGAAGAAATGGCTTTAGAAGAAGTTTCAGTTTAAAACATTGACTCTCCAAAGAAACTTCAATCATTGTACTGTTGATATTTGGCTCTGTTGACTAATGAGTTTGCCGACCACTGCTTTATAATGAACACTGGTCATCACTTTCCCCAATTTCGCTGTGGCCTCCTGGGGGCCTGCACATCACAGGAAGGGGCGGGAGCCTGTCAGAGACATGGGTTCCCAGCTCCCCGCACATGTGAGTGAGGAGTGCGGCTCAAGCATCTGCACTTGCAACAAGAACCCAGGCGACACTAAGGGACTCACACATTCGGTGACTGTGATTTGGCATTGCAACCAGGTGATGAGCTTACAAAATGTCAACCAAAACCAATGATGCTTCTAACTGATCAAATGGCCCCTCAATAAACAGCATAACGACCAATCCAGTTTATTTGTAAAAACTCTCAAGAACGTTTCTACTGCTGACATCATAATATGACTATTTTTTTAAAATGACAAAAACATGATAAATTCCTCACCCATCTGGGATGGATGAGGGGAGAGAGCTGTCCAGTACAGGAAAAGTCTGTGACACTGCACAGTCCGTCTATGACCCACAATGCTGTCAGTGCTCTGGGAGAAGCCGGTGCTTTGTTACCATCCATGTCATAGAACAACCATTGGAATGACGTTTTGTTTAGTTTGTACCTTTCAGAACTGTTTTTCACTCTCACCCAAGAACAAGATTTTTAAAACTAATTTAGAGAGAGACAGGTGAGAGAGAACATCGATTGGTTGCCTTCCATACTGGGATTGAACCCACAACCTAGTTATATGCCCTGACTGGGAATCAAACCCACAGCCTTTTGGTGCACAGGACAGCGCTCCAACCGAGCCATCCGGCCAGGGCCCATTGTGAGACTTTAAGGTCATTAAAAAGTTAACCCCCCCAAAGAGTTATCAGATTTGCTAACATTCTGTGATTCTGTATTTAAGGCCTGTCTTGTTTCCTGAGTAAGAAGAAAATTCCAACATTCATAACTATTGTTACGTGTAAGTTAGGAGAAGTGGTTTTGAATTGGTGAAACTTACAGTGGATCTAAAAATGCATTCTAATAATGGAGAGAAAGTGAAAATGTGCAAAAGCTGGGATGGCTCCAGTAGATGGCCCAGGTCTACTCCAATAGCCCCAGCGCCTGAACTTTGACCCAGGCCCAGTGAATGTTGTGGCGACAGCACCTGCTGTCCTTCCCCCCTCAGTGATGTCCCAGAGAGCAAGCCTGTGCGGAAGGTCCAGACCACCTGCGTGGCGGATGCTCTGGCTCTTGCCTCACTGGAGCTCGGCAGCCTTCCAGGGTCTCCAAATGCTCGCTCCTGCTTAGTGGACCACTGAGGCTGCACAGAGGAAAGGAGGCAGGGACTCCGGACGTAAATGTCTCCCCGACATGAGATACTGCCTAGAGCCTGACCCAGGGCCACGGGCCAACCGCTCTTTCAGAAAGCAGACAAGAGGGTCCCTGGCTCATGCACCTCTTCCTGCGAGGAATTGGATTGCTCTTGTGCTCCCCTGAGGGACTGGAGAGACTCTAGTTGTGGCTTCTGTTAAAAGCGACCAGGAGGTAGAATGGGGGAACAGAAAGGACAGTGAGAAGGGGACTGGGTCAAACTGCCTTAGAATTTTACCCGGGATCCTGGTGCTGGTAATGACCTGAGCTCTGTGACCAGGAAGTGTCTGCTGGCACTGGATGCACGCAGCCAGGTTACACGGCTGCCTTTGCCGCCACCCCACGTACCGGGAGCAGTGCAGAAAACGCCCCCAAGGTGACCGCTTTTAAAAGGAGGTGGGTAATGGAAGATGTGGCCCATCCCCAGGTCTCATCAGAAGGCAAGGCCCCTCCTTCAGGAACACAGGTGCAGGACCACCTCGTGCAGCCCTCCGCCGCAGCGTGAGAGCCCTGACACCGAGGAGGATGGTTCACACGCCCACCTGTATCTTCTCCCTGTGGCTTCCCCTCGGGGGATTGCCTTGTAGGCTTTAACCTCTGGAAAGAAGGGTGTGTGTTCCATTCGGTCCTATCAGCTTGGATATCTTGCCAAACATTTCACAGGAATGGGAACAGCTCTCAGAATCTTGCCTGTATTAAAATCCAGGCATGTCTGTCATGGTCAATGGGCTGAGAAAACATGCTGCATCCAGGGACACTTTCAACACAGGGAGCCAACGACTGCATGTGCCCCCCCCCCCCCCACTGCCCACGCCCCCTGCTTTTGGCCCCAAGCTGCAGCTTTGGCTTTTTCCAGGCGCCCAATCCCGGAAAAAACGGTTTCTCTTCCTTCGGGCCAAGAAGGCTGGGGAGAGTCACCCCGCCTGAAAAGAAAGTGCTCCGGCTTCCTCTCCACTCACTCTTCCCCCCCCAGTCCATCACCTCCGGACCACATCTCCCCTGATACAGCGACCGTGAACGTATGGTGCCTGGGACAGGAACTCGGAGAGGCCGTTTTGGCTGCTGTGGAAACAAGTGATGTGACTCAGACCGGATAACAGCATTAAAACTACCTGCTCCAGGAAGCTGGCACTGGTGATGGCCTCCTCCATGTGCTCCTCGTCGGACTTCAGGACCGACTTGATGTTCTCCACGAGCTCATGGATGTCGGGCGTCATGGCGCAGGAGGACTGCTCCAGGAACCGGGCCACCAGCAGCTTGGTGTCCATGTAGGACTTGTAGTCGATCAGGGACTGCGGCCTGCACCTGGCCGCCCTGGGCCGCACGCCCCTCCGCAGGGTCACCGCGGCCAGCTCCGGCCTCCCCTCCGTCTGGGTGGCGGCTTCGCAGCTGAGCACGGGAGCGGCTGTGGGCAGACAAACACACGGGCCCGTTGGCCACGGCCCTGCGGACACGCGCCTGCGTGGGAGACAGCACGGGCCGCCGGACTCGGCGCGGAAAGCACGTGACGGATGCCAACAGCCATGCGCGTCTTGCTTTTCATTTTGCAAAAGGAAAAAAAACACACACACACACACAAAACCAACAGCTATGACATGAGCTTATTTCCCGATGTCGTTCCAACAGGATGTGTCCCCGACCCGTTTCATTGTGCCACGGGAAACACTGCCCCCGCGGCAAAGACAGGCGATCGAGATGGGCATCCCGAGTACAAACCACAGCGGAGCAGCGGTGTCATGGGTGATGGCCGATGTCTGGGATGGGTGGGCAAGCAGACAAAGCGTGGCTGGCTGATGGAGGAACGTTCAAGGGGCAGGATGAAGGAGCCGCGGAAAGACAGGGGCTGAGGGGAGACAAGACTCGTGGGATGAGGGGAAGGCTCTGCGCCCGGGGACTGTACCTTTGTCCTAACCATCCGTCAGGGCACTGCACGGACACGGTATCAGTGCTCGCACCGGGGCTGTAGACAGCGCTACGGCTCACGGTTACAGAAAGAGAGATCTAAGTGCAGGAAAACCAGGTTGTTCCAGATGTCAGCAGCGGGCCTGGGAAGCCTGGGAAACCCCCTGCAGGTTCTCACTTCCACAACTGCCTGCTTCAGTGAGAAGGAAAAGTGCAGGTCACAGCGGCACCTCAGGTGGGTGAAGGGGGATGCAGGCCTGGCTCCCGCGTGCTCAGAAGCCGGCCAGCAGCCTTCGGTGCACGCGGCCCTGGAGGTTCCAGTCTGCAAAGGCCTGCTAAGCAGGATCTGAGAGTCAGTGAGGAAAGGAAGCAGAGGGTGGGAGAGCAGGTGGAGGGCAGGGAGCACCCTCGTCCTCTGGAGAACGCAGGCATGAGGATCTGCAAACGGTGGTGAACAGCAAGCGGTCCTCCTGGGCCGTCACAGGCATGTCACGGAACCGGGACCTCCCAGGAGCACTCCCTATGGACACTCAGGTGTGAGGACCGGGACCACACCAGTCCCCTGAAGGCAACCTGGTCCCACAGGTAAACACGGGTCCTCCTGGCCCCGGCAGCGCTGCAACATGGGAAGGGATTCTGGAAAGACCTCTCTGAGCTGCGCAGACAGCAATGTTCCCGTTGAAGCCGGTGGGTGACCAGTTCGAGTCCTCAGCTTGCCAGGGAGGGCAGCGATGGCAGTGAAGTGGGGCCTGGGAGCGGAGGGCCAGCTGCCCGCCTGCTAGGTGGCGGAAGCACTCAGGAGCGTGGGGGAGGGCGGGGAGGTGGGGGGCCTCTTGGTGAGAGGAGAGGAGTGCTTTCTGGTTCCCACACAGTCCGTGGAGACTGGGGCCCACAGCACAAGCCGTCAGAGGGACAGGAGTGGGATGAAGGGGCAGTCCAGGCCCGGAGAAGGCAAGGTGAGAGCAGGAAAGCGAAGGCACTGGTGAGAACAGGTCACCGAGAAGAGCCGGTGCGCACAGGATTACAGGTTTTCATTTTCTTCCTTTCGTCCCTTTATTATTATTATTATTATTATTTTACAATTTTCTACACTGAAGACACATTTGGAGATGTTCAGGCATTCATATATTCAAATAATATCTAGACACAAACAAACTCAAAACAGAGAGGGAAGGGATGAAGTGTTTCACTCTAATCCAAAGTTCTTAAAACAAGGTGGGATTTAAATAATACAATCATTCATGCTCAGCCAAAAGATAACTAATATTAAATTATAGAAAAGGAAATACAAACAAGACCTCCCTCTGACTTCTCCTGAGATGTATTCCCACATGATCACGGGTATGTAGAGATCAGAGAGAGGTTGGCGTTATTTCCTTCATGTAGTACCTACCACAGCATTGTCTGCAACCAAATGCTTTTGATGACAATGATTTAAAAAGAAAAACACCCTTGCCCACCAGTGTGGCTCAGTGGTTGAGCATCAACTTAGGAACCAGGAGGTCAGGATTCCATTCCCAGTCAGGGCACATGCCCTGATTTTGGGCTCGATCCCCAGTAGGGGCCATGCAGGAGGCCATAGATCAATGATTCTCATCATTGATGTTTCCATCTCTCTCCCCCTCTCCCTTCCTCTCTGAAATCAATAAAAATATATTTTAAAAAAATAAAATAGCTGAAACCGGTTTGGCTCAGTGGATAGAGCATTGGACTGCAGACTGAAAGGTCCCAGGTTTGATTCCAGTCAAGGGCATGTATCTTGGTTGTGGGCACATCCCCAGTAGGGGGTGAGCAAGAGGCAGTTGATGGATGATTCTCTCATCGATGTTTCTAACTCTCTATCCCTTTCTCTTCCTCTCTGTAAAAAAAAAAAAAATCAATAAAATATATTAAAAATATAAAATAAAATAGAAACACCCCACCAGCTTAAAAGATGGGGGGCAGACGTATATCCCTAATGTGCATGTAAAATATCTTACTTTCTCAAGGCATCTCTTGAACTGTAGGGCCCGGAGCCACCTGCCTGCACGTGGCCCCTGGAGGTAAGCACGGGCTCTGCGGGAGACTGGGGGGCAGCCTCACCTCGCTCTGAGGAAGGATGGAACACAGGGTCGCTCTTTGACCTTCTCATCGTGGGCTGGTGGGCACTCGGGCTCCTCCCGGGACGTGGCGGGTCTGCATTGGCAACGGAAGTGGATGCGCCTTCTTCTCCAGGTGTGCTAGGAATGTTCCCACCTAAGTATTTTTTTTTTAAAGAGAAACAAAAATTATTTTTCCAGCTGCAGCCCTCAGAAATTTGGGCAGGAAACACCTGTGAGCCCAAACCTGCTGGGGCAAGAGCCACACGGTTAACAACATTTGCTTAGGCGGCCGGCCCGAGAAGTTTGCTTCCCAGCACTGTGGGAAACGCTGCCTCTCCGAACCCCCACGCCAGGCCTCAGACAAACAGAACCTTCACCTCCAAATAGTGAAGCCCTGCCAGAGTGTCAGTTTTTCCTAAGGGGGGCTTTGTATCTTCTCCGGTGACACATCCTGGTGAGAGGGAGGGTGTGCATTACCGCACGATCGCCTTGGCATGGGAGAGCTCCAAGCCGTCTCATACCATTCGGGACGGGCTTGTTGGGTGGAAAATAATGCCTGCACTGGTGAGGGGCTGCCCTGTGGGCTGCAGACAAAGTGCAGGCAGAGGGGTATCTGCAGGGTGGGCCATGGAACTTCTGTTGAGCCAAGTTAAAGAGCCAGTAGCCACTAAATGCATCAGTGAAACCACTCTGGAATCGGGTGACTTCTGCTCGGGGAAATAAAAATCACATCATTTGTGAGCCTAAGCTGGGGATGGGGAACATTTTTAAGAAGTGAAATAATGGGGGAACATATTTGACAATGATAGATCTGATAAGGGTTAATATGTATAAGGAACTCATACAACTTAACACAAGGAAGACAGCAATCCAATTAAAAAATGGGCAAAGGACCTAAATAGACACTTCTCCAAAGGGGACATACAGATGGCCAAGAGAGATATGAAAACATGCTCAAAGTCACTGATCATCAGTGAAACGCAAATTAAAACGACAATGAAATATCACCTCACACCTGTCAGAATGGCTACCATCAACAAATCAACAAAGGACAAGTTGATGAGGATGCGGAGAAAAAGGAACCCTCATGCACTGCTGGTGTGAATGCAGACCAGGGCAGCCACTATGGAGAACAGTATGGAGTTTCCTCAAAAAATTAAATATGGAAGTGCCATTTGAACCCATGATCCTACTTCTAGGAATATATCCTAAGAAACCCAAAATACCAATCAGAAAGAATGTGTGCACCTCTATATGCATAGCAGCACAATTTACAATAGCTAAGATCTGGAAACAGTCCAAGGACCCATTAGTACATGATTGGATAAAAAAGCTGTGGTATATTTACACCATGGAACACTATGCAACAGTAAAATAGAAGGGCCTCTTACCCTCTGAGACAGCATGGAGGGACCTGGAGAGTACTATGCTAAGCGAAATAAGCCAGTCAGAGGAAGACAAGAATCACATGGTCTCAATAATAGGTGGAATCTTATGAACAAAATAAATTGAAGTACAAAATAGATCCAGAGAAATAGAACCATGGAACAGACTGTGGGATCTTAGAGGGAAGACGGAGGTGGATGGGAAGAGATCAACCAAAGAAGTTGTATGCATATATCATAACCCTTGGACACAGACAACAGGGAGGTAAATGCCGGGGGCAGGGGACAAGGGTGAGCTAAAAGAGGTCAATGAAGGAAATGGGGGGGGACACATATGCAATACTTTCAACAATAAAGATTTTTAAAAAGAAACAAGAAATGGAAGAATTACAAACATACTCAGGAAATAAGAAATGGAAGAATTACAAACATACTTAGGAAACATGAGACCGAAGGTGAACAGGTCAGAAACCCAACTCCAAATGGCACTGCTGAAAAACCACCTCTGCCTATAAGAGCTAAAAGCTGATCCATTATTTATCACCGTGTGCAATTTTGTCCTGGTGGACAATTTTCTGGACACTTAAAACCCCTCCAAAGAGAGAAAGCTGCAGCAATGTCCCCTTAAATTACAAAGATAAATACAAACCGACTCTACTATTTAATGGAGGACTGGGGATCAAAAATCTCTGCCTGTGACAGCAGCATGATCTGAGCAAGATCTCACAGCAAATCACCCTAGTAAGAAATGAACGCTCCTTTTCTCTTCAAAACATCTCATTTTAACAGAAGAAAATAAAATTCTTAGGTTGGAAAACACAGGAACGTCAAATTAAACTCTAATTTATTTCACAGGTCCCTGAGAATAGTCTGACAACTCCTAACAGATTCTAGGGATATCTGTATTTCTGGTCAATGTTATCTCCCACTTACAAAGGCTGTATCTCCAAGAATATCTGACCTCCAACAAATACCAGAGAGATCATTATTTTATCATGTTTTAACTTACTGCCTCACAGGTGTGGGCAGTGACCGTGTGTGCATTACCTTGAGTCACTGGCACGCCGATCGGTTCCATCGGGCTGGTGGCGGCCTCTGATCCCTCTGATATTTGGAATGAAGACATCTGCATCACAGGAAAAAGAGAGGAATATTGGTTGATACTCAACTCAAGCATCATCTGGGCCCAGGGAACTTAAAGAGAATCTGCCGAGTAAAAGATCTCCAATTGCTCTCTGTACCCAACCTGGCTTTTCCTACTTGCGGTCAACACGCCAAAGCGAACCTGCATGGACAGTACCTGCTCCCGGTCCGTCTCGTTCACCACGGCTTCATACGGAGGCGGGGGGTCCAGAGGACAGAACACTTCCACGCCTTTGATTCTCGCTCCATATATGTGCGGCAGCGGGATCACGTCAGGACCGACCATCCTGGGAAAAGCATGTTGGCATCAGGAAGCACGTTCTGCACACAGGCCAGCTGACCCGGCGGCTCCCGCACGCTGGCCTTCGCCCCTGGATGCTTACCCTTAGGCAAGTGGCAATGCATTGTGTGCGATACCATTGCTCCTTTAAGACCCACGAGGCAAAAAGCAAACAGCAATCCCTGAGACAGAAAGCAGATGCACGGTGGCCAGGGGCTGGGGGGGAGAATGGAGTGGGGAGTGGCCGGTGGATGGATAGAGAACTCCTTGGAGGTGAAAAAAAAAAAATGCTTTAGAACTAGATGGAGGTGATGGTTGCACGTGAATGTACTAAGTGCCACTGAATTGTACATTTCCAACTGGTTAATGTCACCTCAGTTAAAGACAAAATTAGAAACACGGAGAAACTCAATTATTTCTGACACGGCACCATTCTTACCTGGGTTTCCCTAATGTCTGATTCATGGGAGATACTCACGACTTGTTAAATATATTTGAAAGGACACGTTTTTAAAATAAAGCACACCACATCAGAGCTCAGAGACAAAGCAGCACACAGCGGAGGGAGCAGAGCGCCCCCTCCTGAAGGTGGCCGAGCACCAAGCACTGATGGGGCGCCTGCTGCATGCCGGGCACTGTGCATAGTGCCCTGTGGGTGAGGGATCTTTGACAGCAGAAAACAAACGCAAAAACCCCACAAGCTTCCCTGCCAGTGTGCACAGAACATCACACACACGCACACACACACACACACACACACACACACACATACACACACACCCCTACGTAACAAAGAACCTACATTTTAAAATAACACTTAAAAAACTGAGCTACCAAGCAAAATAGAGGCAGACTCATAGAGAACAGGCAGACAGCTCTTGTTGGCAGTGGCGGGCGGGAGGGAGAGAGGATTGAGCAAAAAATAATAAAAAGAGAGAACTCGGGACATGGACAACACTGTGGTGAGGGCAGGGGTAATGGGTAGAGGTGGAAGAGGGGATAAATAATGATGGGGAAAATATTAAAAAGAAAAAAATTATTCAATTAAATAATAGTTAAAAATATGTGGAATTTTGTACCTTTTAAAAAATATCTTTAAGTTGATTTCAAAGAGGAAGGGAGAAGGAGAGAGAGAAACATCGATGATGAGAGAGAATCATTGGTTGGCTGCCTCCTGCACGTCCCGCACTGGGGATTAAGCCCACAACCCAGGCCTGTACCCTGACTGGGAATCAAACCTTGACTTCTTGGTTCATAAGTCAACGTTTAAACACTGAGCCATGCCAGCCGAGCAGAAGTTTGTACCTTTGAATGAAACTCCCAGTTATAAAATAAGTCCTGGGGATGTAATGTGAAGGATGGTGATTATAGTGAATAGTACTGAATTGTATTTGAAAGTTGCTAAGACAGTAGGTCTTAAAAATTCTCAAGGACGCATCAGCTAACCAAACCTATTGTGGAGATCATTTGCCATATGTATAAATGGCAATTCACTATGTCTCACACCTGAAATTGTATCCAAATTCAATTGTACATCACTTTTTAAAAACACACAGAAGACCCCAAAAATCTATATTCAACCCATGGAGTATTGGAGGATGAAAAAAAATAGGTAACAGCAAAGTTTAACGTCTGTTCTTGAAACGCAATCACGGACACACGCTGAGGAGACGAAGGAGAAGACGGACTCTGGAGCCATGAGCGCGGGCACTGCTGCCGGGAAAGGTGCTCTCTAGAGGTCACGCCTGGAGCCCATTTTCAAAAATGCGACGGGTAAAGGAAAAGAAGTTGAAAAAGATGTAATGTCCTTTATCCCTAACAGTTAAACTTCTGGAATCCTGGGATGTAGAAGAATGAGACTTCTGTAGCCGGAATTAAAATAAAAATAAAATAAAATAAAATAAAATAAAATAAAATAAAATAAAGCAGAAATCTCTCCCCTTTTCCCCTTGATCTTTGTACGGAAGGAAGACTGCCATCCCTGCTTGACACCGGATTGCATGGATAGTGCAGCTCAGTAGGTAGCACATGTGTGTGTCTAAAGAGAGGCACCAGCCTGGAGGGTCTCTCCGAGGGGCATTGTGAGTGGGGGAGAGGTTCCTGGGAAAGTTACCAAGAAAGGGAGATCAGATTCTCCCTCCGAGCAGGACCTGCCACAATTCCTCCCCAGCGCTCCAGCGCAGCTGAAGCTGTTCGACAGCTACAAACGCCGAGCAGGACCTGACTGCAAATGCTCTCCGGACCGATGCACATGGTGACTTGTTTACTCCATTGGCCTGGGCACCCCCTCCTGTCCTCTCCTCACGCCCTAACCCCAACCTCATGAGCTGTCTTCTAGCCCTTACAAACGTCTCTGCAGCGCGTCCTCACTGCTGGGCCCCGGCCTGGAAAGTGAAGCCCTGTCTGTCTGTAGTCTGTCTGTCTGTCAGCGCTGGTGGTCCTTGTTTTATATTCCCAGCCCAGTGCCTACCACTATAGACATTCACAGAGAAGAAAGGGCTTCCATTTTAGACCCTAAACTACAGAAATTTCTACAAGAAGAAAACTGACAGAGAAGAAGGGACGTACTTTATCTAAACTGACAAAAACAAAAGCAGGAATGGCCTCTCTGGTTGTTATTAAAAGGGCCAGGAAAGCCTCGTTTCGATGGGAGATGCAGCTACAGCGGATGCAGAAGGAAAGTCCCCTTCCTTGCAGGCGGCTTTTCCGCATTGATTCCCGCTTCCCTCTGTGGGTAACTAGGATCTGTGTGGGGGGAACAGGTCTGCTCTCTCCTGACAGGTTTCCTCCTGATCCTTCCCGGCTTTCACTGGGAGAGGTTTCCAACCATGGCTGGCCCCAGCCTCCCCTATGGGAGTTCTGCTCTAATGGGGGGCGGGGAGTAGAGGGGAGGGAGTTCTGCTCTATTTTGGGGGGTAGAAAGGTGGGGAGAGTTGTTCTTCTCTATTTGGGGGAGGGGCACGAGGAGCTGCAGGCTGTCAGTGCGGCCCCCACCCCCCACCCCCCCACCCCCCCAGCGATCCAGTGCACAGCAGGACTGAGGACTCCACCAAAGGAACCGGTACCTGGTGGCTGAAAGGAAACCCTGTTATATCTGGGAAAGATGATCAGATTTTCGCTAAGAATGAGTGTCTTTAGAAAACTGCTGCCTGATAAGGCAGAGGCAAGATGAAGGGCTAAATGTTCCTTAAGAGCAAGGAACATGCCAAGAACATTCTAAACAGAGCAACTAACAGGGACAGAGCGCAGTGGAAGCTTCTCACTTCTGGAAGCTTTTTTATGGCCACATTCTTGTTACAAGCCTCTCAGCGGCCTGTGACCACGCAGGCGGAGGAAGAGACTGGAGCTCGGAAATGGCAGAGGAGCCACCCAGGGTCATCCCTTCAGGAGACTCCAGAGCCTGGGCTCTTTCAAGTTCATCCCAGAGTCTCCAGGAAACCTTCCCTGCTTCGTGTTCCTGAGCCCTGAAGGTGAACAGGGAACCCAAGCAGATCGTGCAGAACATGATCCTACCAATAGGCCTCGAGAACTCATCCGAGGGGGACACAGCAACTGATATGCCCTTGACCAAAGCCTGACGGTCCTCTATGCCCAGAGCAAGCTGCGTGCACCTTTTCCTGGGCACACGGTGGTAGCGTTGCTGTCCCTGGAGGGGGGAGCCAGGCAAGGGTACTCTGCCCAGCAGCCGAGCCCTGGGTCAGCCTGAGAGTGGGTTTGGAATCTCATTAAGAAAGCAAATGGCCCAGCTGGTGTAGCACAGTGGTTAAGTGTCGACCTATGAACTAGGAAGTCACCATTCGATTCCCCATCAGGCCACATACCCGGGTTGCAGATTCAATGTCCAGTAGGGGGGTGTACAGGAGGCAGCCAGTCGATGATTTTCATCATTGATGTTTCTCTCTCTCTCCCTCTCCCTTCCTCTCTCTGAAATCAATAAAAACATATATATATTTAATAAAAAATTTATATATATATATATATATATATATATATATATGTGTGTGTGTGTGTGTGTGTGTAAATTTTTTATTTTAAAGAAAACAAATAGGTGGGCTTCGTCTTCGCTTTTAAGAAATGCCCAGGTCCATCCACCTGTCTCTCCCCCACTTCTTTAATGTCCTCCAGCAGGTGACATCCAGGTCCATGTTCACAAAATACAGGGTGTCACAAAAACATATATGTGCACTTTGAATAATTATAAAGTCAGTGTTAAACTACATCTCTTTTTCAAAACTGAGCCATCGCTGTAAATGAGTACACATTTTTGGGGGACAGCCTGTAGTTTAGAGTCTCCTTTCTGACCCCTAGCTCCAGCCCGTTTCTGAGAATGGGGACTCCCCGGGGTAGTGGCGCTGGGGCACAGCCCCCTCTCGGACGGCACATCGATTCACTAGGCAGATGACCGGCACTTGGACGGCAGCCGGGACTGCAGTGGGGCCTCTGTTTATGACAGTAACCTGAGAAGCCCTTTCTCAAGGAGACACCAATGCATGTTGTATTTATAGAAGTTAAATAAATAAGCCTCTTCAGAGAGGTCACAACACCTAACAGGAAATGGGGAGCCTCGATTGTGTGAAAACACTTAACACAACTGGTAATGGAAAATTTTAAATAACATTCATCAATATTTTGCCTGCCTGCTTACAAGAAAAGTTACCAATTGGGGTTAAACATCTAGCATCTACAAAGTTGATTTATACTGAGAATCTAGCAAAGTTGATCAAACTTAAAAATATCTCGGAGAGCATATGTATAGATAGGTGAATAAATTTAGCCATTTTAAAAAAAGGAAGTGGGCTGGCCGCTGAGATGGCGGGATTTCGGAAATGGGAGCGTCTGCCCGTGGAGATGTGCTCTAGGGCTCCAGGTACATGGTTCAGGCCCAGCAGCATCTTCTCCCTCACCAGCCTGTTTTGCTTGAACCTCCTCCCCCCACAGTCCTTCCAGAAAGTTCTGAATAGCAATGCCTGTCTTCTTCCAACCTACATTTGGCCAGGGGCTGTCTCGGGACTCAAAGGGACAGATCCAGAGATGCATGTATACCCTCCTCCAAGAGTGGCAATGCCCACCCTGCTCACCGTGACTGTGGAGGAGCAGGGGGGAGGACAGAAAGGGAGGAGAAGGAAGGGGAAGGGAGGGGAGAGTAGGAGGGGGGCTGCCCCACAGGCACACCTCCAAACCCAAGCCCACATGAGTCACTCTCCCTTTCTGCTGCTACAGGAAACTAAATCTGTCTGTGGCCTCTTCTTGGGTCAACCCAGCGCTCACCCACGGCCTCAAGGGCCAAGGAAGTCTTCTGAAGAGGGCTTTTCTCTCCCACACCATGAAACACCAGGCAGCTTACCCTCCCATGAGCTCTCTGCAAGCAACCTGAGATTGGGCTCAGATTTTAGCAAATGTGACCTAACGTGCACAAAGAATACGGGTTTTGTGGCTGTCTCTTTGGCCCCTATAATTCTGGGCTCATTTCCTAAGAGACTAAGGAGGCTGTCTTAACCCTTGAAGCTTCAAGGGTTCAGTTCCTGGGGCCACCCCCAGCCCATCTGACCCGCCAGCATCCTCCTGCTCTGGCTCAGGGGTCATCTCTACCTCCACCTAGGTGGGTGGCCAGGCAGGGGTCTGGGGGTGGGGGTTAGGTGTAACTCTAACACAGGAAGAGAGCATGGACAGCATCTGGAGTTAGCTCCCCCTGGCGGCCTGTTCCAGGGTCACGTTTGGCTGCCTCAAGCACTAGAAAATGGGTTTCCAAAAACCATGCCTGGCACCAAATGTGACAACCTTCCACCTGTACCTCAGAGATTAAAAATTAAAAATTCCTGGGCCTCTGACTATCAAGCTAAAGACACTCATCTTTCTGTAGAATCCAGAGCTTCTCTTTGGAAGCTCAAATATATTTTGTTTATCCTCTAAGTTCAGCTTAAGATCACCTTGTCCAGGACGCCAACCCTGACCCGCTGCCTCTTCAAGCTCCCTGCGACCCACCCAGGACAGGGTCCTTCTCGGGCATGTAAACCCTCTCCTCTGAGTGCCACTTCCTGGGTCCTAAGCACACGCACTCTGCAGGGCCTGGGCTGTGAGCTCCTCCGTATGTAAAGGGGGTGGTCTCACTCATTTTGGATCTCAATAACTCAGCACAGTGATTAGTTAGTAAGCCACAGAATGGATTAAATGTTTGTTGAATGAATTAAGTCATTTCTTAGAGTTACAATTCTAGCACCTAGTAACAATCAGAGGAAGGGTTACAGCACTTCATTCTTTAAATAATAATTCCTGAGAGTTAAGAAACAGATAATCAGCTCTAGCTGGTTTGGCTCAGTGGGTACAACAGGGTCGGTCTGTAGACCAAAGTTTCCCAGGTCAAGGACACATACCTGGGTTGCAGGCTCCTCCCCAGCCCGGGTCCCAGTCGGGTTGTGCGCAAGAGGCAACCAACGTGTTTCTCTCACATTGATATTTCTCTCTGTCTTTCCCTCTCTCTTCCATTATCTAAAAATCAATGGGAAAATATCCTGGGGTGAGGATTTAAATATATATATGAAAAGAAAAAGAAACAATCAAATTTGGAGCTAGAATTTGAAAACGACAGTAAGCCTAGTGTCTATTTTTTTTTTTCTAGACCAGAGAGAATTGATTAATAATTCATCACTTTTTAATGGCTGGGAAGAACTGCATGATTTGGGGACCTGCTGATGGTATTATAATGAACATCAATTTGGCCTAACTGAGTGCGTTTCCAGGGCAACGCAGCTCTCAATCATGTCAAATTACAGCCGTTATCTCCCTGGGTGTCAGTTTTCCTGGGAAGCTAATTGAAATTGAAAAAAGTATATCCTTAGGTCAAGGTCTGACTTTTCTTTGGTTTCATGCAGTTTATCAGAGAGAGAGAGAGAGAGAGAGAGAGAGAGAGAGAGAGAGAGAGAGAGAGAGAGAGAGAGAAAGGGAGAATGGGAGAGGGGAACAGGGAGAGAGGGAGAGAGGGAGAGGGGCAGAGAGGGAGAGGGAAAGGGAGAGAGAGAGAAATTTTTAAATTCCCCAAATAGCACAACCTGTCCCAATTTAGGAGAAAAGTCCAGAGCTCCAGTCCTCAAAACTAAGAGCACCCCCCAGAGAGCTGGGTGAGGTCGGCTTAGAGACGGACCTGCGGTTCATCCGGGGTGTACACGAGTAAAACGTGGCGAAATAGGAGGGGGGAGGCACCGGTGGCACGAAGTCGTCGGGGTCTGGGATGCGTCCCTGCTCTTCCACCTCCTCGGCGGAAATCTGGGATTCATCCTAACGAAACAACACCGCATTAGTCAGCAGCCTGAGAGGAAGCTCAGGGAGAGAAGCAATCCGCCCAGGAAAGTTCTGCAGAACCACCACGGCGGTGCCACCTCGCAGGGACTTACGCTGCAGGACCTCCTGGCCGCAAAGATCTGGACGTAGCGAAGGGCGGCGGCCACCAAGCAGACGGTGGTGGTCAGGGCGTTCAAGGCACACAGCGCAAAGAGGACTTTCTAGGACAAGGAAACAGAGACGCCACTGAGTCCTTGAAAGCAGATGACCAGGTGCAATATAAACACGTGTAAAAAGAACGAATAACACTGTCCCCATAGGAGAATTCTCATTAGAAAATTCATGGAAAGAAATTACACGGTAAAGGCCCCCCACAATGCCGGTGATGCCCAGCCAGGTGGCCCAGTTGGTTGGAGCATCCTACACCCAAAACGTTCTGGGTTCGATTTCCCAGTCGGGGCACATACCTAGGTTGCGGGTTTTATCCCAGTAGGGATGGGTACAGAGGAAAACAATTGATGTTTCTCTCTCTCTTTTTCCCTCTCTCTAATCAGTGAATATATCCTTGGGTGAGGATTTTTTAATGCTGTAATTATTATGATTCACACAATGATTAAAATAATATTAAAATGTATCTCAGAAGCTTCCTGTCCCAGAAAGACCAAATACTACACGATTTCCCTCTGCAAGCACCAGGACCCTGTCTGGAAACACTCCCTCCAGGAAAGCAGTGAGTTTCTCTTCTGAAGTTGGAGTTTCCAGTGACATCAATTCCCAGTCTCCCCCTCCCACAGCCTTGCCCCCGGACAGCTTGCTGCTGCATCTGTGGCCGCTGCTTCTATTTCAGGAGCTGCTGGCAGCGCTGCCCAGGGCACACAACTAGGACAAGGGAGGGGGCAGGCCGCCCGGGTGTAGATAGGGCTTCTCTCCTCCGAGCACGCGTCTCAGAATAGCAGCAAAGGCGATTCCAAGTGTTTGTTGCCACAGTCCTGGCTCCTCAGTGGGGCTTTCCCTACGCTAAGTCCTGGCTCGGGAAGTTTGGGGGTGAGTCAGCCACCAAAACTCCAGAAGCAAAAGAAAGAAGCCGTTTTTACATCCTGCATAATCCAGAGAGCTGGCAGCTTCTTCCTCTGCTCAGAGATTCCTCCTCCCCCCAACACAAACTCCAAACAAAGGTCTAAGGAAAGAAAGCCATGAGTGGTAGCCAAACGCTAGTACCTCCCAGCTCACCAACTGATCTTGTCACTCCCTGGGCTGATGGGCCTTAAGGCAGGACATCATTTTTATCCAATTCCCTTATTAGGTTAATAACCTTTATTAAGATTAATTTTGTATTCGTCTTCAACTGGGATCATTTGGTTTTAATCTCTTTTGCTTATTATAGTTGTTCCCTATTAAATAAGAGGTAAAGTGCTTGAATTTCTCCTGTGTCTTCTGGTCAACATCTCTCCTAAGTGTGTGTCCCAGAACAATAGCACTCAACAGCCCACAAGACTCACTTACACTTAGCTAGGAGCATCAGAACAATGGCAAATGAGCAAGCAATTTAAAGGGTTTGCTAAAAGCTACCTCATGTGTGTGTATGTGTGGGTGTGTATACTCCTTTACATTTTTTTACTATTTTATAATTCTTGAACACAAAGGAAGTCGTCCACACACAATGTAAGAGGCACACAATAATATGTGACTCTTTCTGTGTTCCAGTCTCTGAGTCACCGATGAGGGGTTGTTCACATCTGCTTTCAGCAGCACAACTATTTGAGGGCGGTAACAAGTAACTTTGCTTTTTCGGGGCTCTATCGTGTTTTATTGCTGGGATATGGAATTCGTCCAAAATACCTTAAGTAGAAGGTGCACCGCGCTACAAGGCTGAACCGGGAAGAGCTTCAAGACATTTTCTTTGTCTGTGCATTTGGCTGGTTGAAATTCTTCACAACAGAAGCAAATCTTGCCTTCACCTAAGTCCACCTTAAGGGGAAAAAGGCAGAATAATAATTTCATCATTAATAAAAAATACACAGGCTACACCAAGGAGCACCGATCCTACAGAATGAGATAAGGCAGGGTTTCGGGTCAGGCAGAGTCTGTATCAGTCAGGACAGGCTCTGGTATACTGTGCTAACAACCAGCCCCCAATTTCCAGTGGCTTAACCAAACAAGGTTATTCCTTGAACATGCCACATGTCCATTTAGGTCAGCAGGGGGCTCTGCTCATCAAATTAACTTAGAGACCCAGGTTGATAGAGTATCTACCATCTCAGGATTAATCATTGCTGTGCCAGAGAAATGGAGAACACAAGTTAAGTTGCACATTGGCACTTAAAGTAGGGTTGTCAGATAAAATTGGAAGACACCCAGTTAAATCTGAAAAAAATAATAGACCATTTTTTAGTATATGTATGTCCCAAATATTGCATGAGACATGTTTATAGTATAAGCTATTAGCTGTTTATTTTACATACAAATTCAATTAATGTCCTGTCCGGTATTTTCATTTGCTAAATCTGGTAACCCTAGCATAAATCTTTCTCTTGGCGATGAAACTCAACACTTTACCTAATTTGTCCCCACCTAACTCCAAGAGGGAAAGGAAGCTCAGTTTACCATGTGCCTGTAACAAGCAGATGGTACATTTTGGTGAACAGCAGCCCTAAACCCTGTGTACTCAAAGAGATCTCTTAGTTTACATCTTCAATGTTTTAATTATTTGAAGTGATAACTTCACTAATCAGAAAAAAAAAGTTTCTTATTGAATGAAGATTTTTACTCTCTAGCCACAGTAATAAATTTCATGATAATTTTGAAAATTAGGAAAAATTTGACTAGTAAGATAAAGAAAAAATTCTACTACTGGATTACACAACATTTTTTTATTGTTGTTTGGTTATAGTTATTCTTTTTTTTGCAAATTTATATACACATAAAATTTGCATACACAAATGTTAAGCGTACCATTTGAGGAATTTTGAGCCATGCATTCACCTGTGTAACCCAAACCCTATCAACACAGACAGCATGACCATGAGAGTATGCCCCTTCCCCATCAATCCCCGCCCACACCCTTCTAAAGGCAACCAAAGGTTTGATTTTTTTCTACACAGATTAGTTTTGCCTCCTCCAAAACTCCATGGATTCCTTGTCCTGAAACCACATTGAAAGGGATGCATTATTATATCAAACACTGATGCCTGGATTTTAATGTAAATGCTGCCTGTGATACAAATAATTACAGCCAAAGTTACCTTGATGGATTCCATCATCTGTCCATTCATTCCCATTTGGTTTCTTTCCTTTCCTATTTTGTCCACAGAGACAATCTCAGCAATGTCCTCACACCCAAGTCCACACCCCACCACACACACACACACACACACACACACACACACACACACAGGCACTGAGCTGTCTGTATGTGAATTCTTCTTCTATTCTCACAATGTTGAAGATGCATCCTACATTCCTGCCTTCAAAGGGAAAACCTCGGTGGCTATTCAGACAGGATTTCTCCAGGCTGGGTCTAGGAGGGATGGAACTTTCCTTTCCTCTTGGGGATCAGGGGCTGTCTCTTGGTCCCACTCCCATAATTAAATTCTGCAGGGAAATATTACTCTCAAAGGTCTTCCTCCTTTAAAGTCTCCATCTGGGAGCTTCCTGTTTCAGTGCAGGCAGCACTGTTCAGTAGTAACAAACAGGCAGCGAACAGAGATGATACATTCTGTGCGTGTCTCCATTCTGTTTGCCCACGTACACAAAGCCCTCTCCTCCCCACGCAGGACCCCAGCTCACTGTTTCAACAACACCACACAGTATTTCTTGTGCTTCTGTAATTTTCAAGATTTATCGAAGGATTATACCTCCCTCAGGTAAGACATTTTATAAAGTCCTCCCTTCCCATAAGTCCATTCTTGATACAAGGCATTCCGTTAAGAGAGAAGCCAGGCCTATGTGGGCTACACACACGGCTGCATTATTCACACAACACCCAACATTCAAATATACAGAAACCTTTGGGGTGAGCCAGTGTGGATGGCAAAATTTTCCAGATGTATGAAGGTTAATCCCTTTAAACAAGACTATTTGAAAGTTTAATCATTCTGCAAATAATAATGACTATCAATGACTGTGCCCAGCTGGAGAAACCCGAAGGCTCTGTGCAAAATGATTCAAGACAACCATATTCTCCTGATCCTGATCCTTCACCTCTCCTCTGCCCAAGGTTTCTAAAAATGTACCTAGCTTCTCCTCAATCTCTTTAACCTACCTACCTACCTCTCCCCAAGCCTAAGTGAACAACATCCATTCTTCAACCTTGACATTGGCTGTTAGATCTACTCCTTCTTCCCGCCATCAACCAGTACTGTGGTTCTCAACCCTCGTTGCACATCAGAATCTTCTGGGAACTGCCTAAAAAGTGGTGATGCATCTTAAGCAGCTAAGGAACTGCCAACTAAAGCAAGAAGGAGCTCTCACTTCAGTTCCAGGAGACTGGCAAAAAATGACAGACACTTGTTGCTGGAGGAGGGTCACTGGAGAAATGTGAGCGGAAGCCCTTTATTACAGGAACTGCTACATATTTTAAATTAAAGGTATTTATTTAGGAAGTTTTTTTTTAAGAAGTTAGACATACATTTATTTCATAACCTGAGTGAGAGTGTGTGTGTGTGTGTGTGTGTGTGTATTTACTCAAGAGAAATAAAACCAGACCCACAAAAAAATAACTATACAAAAATATTTTTGAAAAGTTCAGAGACGGTACAGGTCCACAACCTCTTATACTCAATTCTGAAACCTTGAAAGTTTTTCTTACAGCCGCTGTCCCAGATTGCACGAGGGTACTACAGAATAAATAGTTTATACATCACATTTACCTTCTAAAAGTTGGGGGAAACTCTGAAATCTGAAACACCTTTGGCCTCCAAAGGTTGTAGGTAAAGGCCTGCTGACTTGTATTCTGATAATACCCATTTTTCCTCTTTAGATGAGAGCAGATAGATACTGACAGTCAATACCTCATCTACCAGTTAACTAATGAGGCACTGCATTACTGGGGTTTGGGATCCTGCTGGCTGGCTCCTGCCTAGAACAAAATAACTGACAGCCTGAGTGAAATAATTAGTAGACAGCTTTCTTTTACCAACGCCAGTTTTCACTTTAGGAGCTGCCTGGTGGATCCATGCTGCCAGCTACACAGAGGCACCAATGGGAGCCGGACAGGCGGGGTCAGCCCGGTGCACGGTGGCGTTTCGGGACTGCTTACCAAGTCACACCTGGGCACGCTGGACACAAACTGGGCCCCTTGGCAGCCCAGGATGAACCCGGCTAGGTTTAAGAGGACACACACCACGGAGAGCAGCACGAAGAGGTTGACCTGAAATGGCAAGAAAATAGGCAGTTAGAAAAAGATGGCAGCTAAATTCAGAGAGGGTTTTATCTGAAAAACAAACTCACCTTCTCTTCCTAGAAGAAGCATTATTTTTTAAAAGTCAGACCATGGTTTTAGTTTTAAAAACTTCCCCCTACTTTTTAGAATGCTTAAAATATGCTCAGGTATGCCAGTGCCTTTCAAAGGTTCTCAATAATGTCATGTCCCTATTTCCTCCCTGCTCCCCTTTTCAGATAAGGGAGTTCTGCCCCTGTCTTTTATCTGTGCAATGCAATAAGCAATAGTGATGTTCTACTTGAGCCGTTGTTATTTTTCCTGAGGTTTGCAGAATCAATGATAAGTAGACAAATGGAGAATTCTAGATTATAAATGGAACCCAGGGAAATCAAGAAGCTCAGAGCCATTACTAGCCAGAAACTGTAGTAGACACGAGAAAATAGAGATGAGCCCTTGCCCAGTTCTGTGTGAGTCAGGCTTCACTCTCCTGATAAGACTGGAATTTCCCTCTATTGCCCCTCAATCCCTTCTCCCAATCAGCGGTCAGACAAAGCGGCACCAGTAACCACTGCTGTATCTACCACATCATCAGAGGCTTTGAAAAGAAAGCACACCACTAATCTTCATGACTAAGGCTTAGCAGAAGCAGATATAGAATGGGTGAGAGTCCATCACCCAACGCTAGACCCCAAACTGCATCATTAAAATCTTAAGTCCAGCTCATCAAATGACTCCATTTAAAGAGTCAACAGGCAAGCCCCAGACTGGGAGAAAATATATCATGCCTATGTTGAACAAAGAACCTTTTCCAGAATATACACATTACTCCTCAGCTCAAAACAGAAACCCAAAGTAAAAATTGGGCAGATGCTTTCTCCTTCCCCTACCCCTTCCTGCCCTAGGCATGTTGCCATTAGCTAAAACAAACAAAATTGGGCAAAAGGCTGGAATATGTATTTAACAAAAGAAGATAAACTGGCCGATAAGCGCATGAAAAGGTGTCAACATCATTTATTATCATAAATGCAAATTAAAACTATAATGAGATATCACTTTACACCAACAAGAATGGTTAAAATAAAAAAGGTGGACAACAGTAAAGTGTTGGTGAGAATGAGGAGCACACGGACACTCAGACATCTCCTTTCCGGGTATAAAACGTACCACTGCTTTAGAAAACTGTATTTCAATTGCTTAGAAATTAAATATAAATCTCCCATGCAGAAGAATTCCAAATAATTGATGGGGATACTCTACCTTCAACTCCCTACACCATAAATGTGGGCTGAAAAGGATTGAGGAGAAGTAACTTCCAGGGAAGAAACCTGACAAACACAGTATCGACCAGGTGACCAAGGTTAACATCACTAATACGTCCTGTTGGTGGTATGCACCCTTCACATGATACAATGAAAATGGTGTTCTACCTCTGTTGTCTTCCTCCCCAGCATTCATGATAACCTCCGTCTGTTCATGAAAAAAAAACAAACAGCCAACAATCTCAACTGAGGCACGTTCTACCGAGTGCCTGACAATGACTCCTCAAAAACAGTGGAGAACATCGAAATCAAGGAAAGTCTAAGAAACTTTCTCAGACATGACAACGAATGTAACAAGGTGTCTTGGGTGGGATCCTGGACAGAGAAAGGACGTTAGGTATAAGCTAAGAAAACCTGGAGAGCATACATTTTAGTTGATAATGATGTACCAATATTGGCTCATTAATTGTGACTCATGAACCTTTAGTTCATTCATTGTATCAATAATAGGAAAAACTGAAAAAGGGGGGTCATTGGTAATACTCTCAACTGTAAAGATTTAAAAAACAATAGGGGAGACTGGGTATTAGAATATAGAACCTCTCTGTACTATCTCTATAAAATTTCTGTAAATCTAAAACTATTCTAAAAATACAATTTTAATTTTTTAAAATATGACCTGCAATTTCACTCCTAAAAATAGACCAGAGAAATACTAAGTGCAACTGCCCACAAAAGGACTTACAGAAGCTATTTACAACACCTTTATTCATATTAGACCAAAAAAATAAAAACCCAAATATCCAACAACAGGAGAATAGACAGTGGGATACTTCGAGCAATAACTTGAACCATGAACAAAGATGTGGAATCCTGAGCAAAGTTATCTGAACACAACACAATGACACTGGGGAGGTGGGTGAGGGGACAGGACACCATGCTTTTCTGAAGTAGTTGAGCGAAAATGAATGTTTCTGATTGACCCCCCAGCACCATGGAAACCACAAAACATAATAAATCACAGTCACTCAAAAGCCCGGACTCTGGCTGCTTAGAACCTGTTTGGGAGCTCACTCAGGCACTGCCTTGGTTTGTGCGTGTGGCTTTAATCCTCAGATCCGAAGAGAACTTACTCCCAGAAACTTGGCAGGCGTGTCACTAACATTCAGACTGCTTCTGGCCGGCAAGCCAAGCTCAGGCCCACTGCTGCACACAGAACCAGCTGTCTCCCTTTCCTCTCAGAGACGCTAAGTGTCAGATTTACTCAGGTTGTGCCTGTCCTGGAGTTAAAGTGTTTAAAATATGGGAACATTTATTTCCAATCACTTTTTCAATGGGAAAGGCTTCTTCCTCTCTCCACCAAAGTAAGACACAAATTTTCATCAGTTGGAGAACAGTTTCAAAATGAGTCATTAATTCTGGTGAAAATGTACAGGTCTCAGAGGTTACTTCCCGTCTCCGTACGAGTGTGTGTGTGTGTGTGTGTGTGTGTGTGTGTGTGTGTGTGTGTGTGTGTCTGTGTGTGTGTGTGTGTGTGTGTGAGAGAGAGAGAGAGAGAGAGAGAGAGAGAGAGAGAGAGAGAGAGAGAGAGAGAGAGAGAAAGAGAGAGAGAGGGGGGGGGAATTCTGTCCTACCAGGGCTCTTCGCCCTGATCTCTTGCAACTCCTCTCCCCTCCCTTCCCCACCTTTCATCTCCCAGGGCTCCCTTTCGGCTCATCACCCCTCATTTCTTAGGGAAAGTGACTTTTCTCATGAGCTAAGCAATTGGGCGTAAGAAAAAAGGGGAGGTCCTTCACGTGTCTGGCTCTATAATTCCCCCACACAGCTTAGCTCTGCCATCCCAAAATTAACATGTTCTTGTCAGGAATGCGACTGCAACCAGGAGACTAACATCCGAATGGGAACCTTGAAGTAATCAGAGGATGACATGACACACCAGATCTGCTATACAAATCAGGTGAAGGATCAGGAATGCGGTCCGGTATGACCCTCAGGAATCGGCTGGCAGAAGGAAAGTTGAATTTGAAGATAAGGAAGAAAACAGAAAGTTAGGTTTAAACAAAACTGCTGATATATGCTTCTTGATACTCTCTTTACTCCATTATTCCTTTTCTCCTTTTTTTTTTTGTACTTCTCTAATTTGTGTTCTGGTCTTGCTTCTGGCCTCTTCTCTGCTGTTAACTCAGCAGGTTAAAGAGTCAGACCTTATGATTCCCCAACAATGAAGATCACAGCTCTTGAGAACAATCTCCGAACATGTCTGCCATGAAGTCCTTCCCTCTCTCTATTCACAAGCTGTTCACACTGTATGTGAAGTCCAATACATACAATGGAATATTCTCCAGTCTTAAAAAGGAAGCACTGACTCATACTACAATGGGAATGAACCTTGGGAACAGTATGCTAAATGAAATAAGCCAGACACAGAGGAGGGTTATACTTATACTAGAGGCCCAGTGTACGAAATTCATGCACTCGGGGGATGGAGGGTCCCTCAGCCCAGATTGTGAGAGGGCGCAGGCCAGGCCAAGGGACCCCACCAATGCACAATTGGGACTGGAGAGAGATGCGGGAGGTTAGCTCAAGGGGAGGGATTGCAGAAGGGCTCCAGGGTGTGTCCGGCCTGCTCACTCATTCCTGATCGGCTGGACCCCAGCAGAAAGTTAACCTTCCTGTCGGAGCGTCTGCCCCCTGGTGGTCAGTGCACATCATAGTGACTGGTCGACCAGTCGACTGCCCCCCCCCCAGAGCCCCGGTGGTCAGTTCACGTCATAGTTAGCGGTTGAGCGGCCTTAGCATATCATTGGCTTATTACACTTTGATTGGTTGAATGGATGACTGGATACTTAGCATATTAGACTTTTATTATATAGGATGAGGTCAAATTCATAGAGACAGACAGTAGAATGGTAGTCAGTTGGGAAGGAGGGAAGGAAGTTATTGCTGAATGGGTACAGAGATTTTATTGGGGGTTATTTAAAAAATGAATAGTGGTGATGGCTATACAGCATTGTGAATACATGTAATGCCACTGAACTGTACACTAAAAAATGGCAAAAATGGTCATTTTTATTTTATGTGTATTTTATCAAAAATTTTAAAAATCACACATAAAATTAAACAAAAATGAAAAGAAAGGAAGGAAAAGAGATGAAGTCCAATTTCTATTTCCCTTCCCCTTGATTCTAAGCTGGCCATAGGAACTTGTCTGATTAACAGAAAGTGGTGCAGATGACATTCTGGGACACACAAAGCTACACTGTAAGAAGCCTGGGCCTCGGGGGCCACCTGGGTCCCTGGAACACTCTTCTGGAAATTGAAGAGAAGAAGAAAAGAAATGAAGAGGAAGAGGAGAAAGAGAAGAGGAAAAGGAGAGGAGAGAGGGAAGAAGAAGAAATAAACCAATGTGACTTATCTCTTCATAAAAAAAGAGTATTTTAGAATACTAAAGACACAATAATCAAAGGAACTGACTGAACCTTGACTGGACCCTATGCTGTGTTTTTTTTAATGGAACTAGGTTACACAGGTGTATTCACTTTTTGATGATACATCAATCTGTACACATTTGCATACAGAAATACACACAATTCATACTTTAGTTAAAAAGCTTTTTGATTGCCGAAACTGGTTTGGATCAGTGGATAGAACGTCCGTGTGCGGACTGAAAGGTCCCAGGTTCGATTCCGGTCAAGGGCATGTACTTCGGTTGCAGGCACATCCCCCGTA